GAAAACCTATTTACTTATACTAAGCATGATGACCAAGGGAAGTTAAATTGAGGAAGTAAAGCAGGGGCATAAGCGGCCACAGACTTGCTGTTCCCAGGAAAGGACAAAAACCAAGGACCGCCCCACCTTCTTCACTCAGCATGCAGTCACTCAGCACAATCTCGGTGAACTGGAGCTCGTCCTGCAGGAGCTTGCCCAGGACCATACACGTGTCCACGGAAAGGCTGTGCGTGGCAAAATCCATGCGACTTCTCCCTGTCGCCTCTTGCAAGTGCTGCAGGACACTCTCTTGTGGCTCAGCACCACTCTCCTTGCACAGCCTAGCGTAGGACCGTCGGAAGTCATCCATCTCTGCAGCAGGCATCGGTATCACTCATGCCCCTGCCCCCAGTGCAGATGAGGGACTAAGGTAGCTCTTGTCAGAAAAAGGTGGTTGCGGGGTAGCCTGGTAGACAGCAATCGTTAGAGGTTATCATCCTGGCACACTACACTAACCTCTCTCTCTCTCTCTCCTGCAAGTACACTTCAAGATTCTAAACCCCAAATAAGAGCACCAGAAATGACAGTTTCCCCAACTTCACCCCTGGAGGAACACCAAAACAACAGTGAGAGTCATTTCCAAACAGCCCCTGGACGTTGCTAGAAATACAGCCTCACCTTTCAACTGCCAACTCCAGTCTATGTAACTAAGGAAAAACAATGTATGATGGGAGTTGTAGTTAAACTCTTCCCCTCCCAAACCCTATTACTAGAAGAGTAATGCATGCTGGGAGTTGTAGTTCAGAGAGCATTTGGCTTCTCTTAGACATTCTCTTTCTTCAGCTCTGTACATTTGATATACACCCATATACAGGTATATTAAACATATTTCATTGTAAGGAAATGAAAGTCTTCCAGATGTATATGGATATACAATGAACTAAAACTGAATTTATCTCTCCAATAAGAGACTGATCTAGTTTTAGGTTAACATTTATCTATTTCTAAAAACAGCACGAGAAAGTGATTTAAGAGTGGCCAGATCAGCAGTTGTAATGAATCTATCTGATTTCTGATCCTATAGGACTATGATGTTCTAAGGGGTATGTGTCTGCAACACGGTCTGGCAGAATAACAAGAGAGTCCTTAATAATATCTAATGAGCACTGCTTTTCTACGGAGTTCAGGGTACTATCAGGCTATTCTGTGGCATTGTAAGATGCTGAAATCTGAGATGTAGTTCTATAAAATACAGATATTTGGAACCTTGACCATTCTCTACTTGTGTGCCATTCAGTATATTTGTTGATTTAAGCTGGAGGAAGGAGGCCAGTCCTTAACACCTAATTGCTGTGTTTCTGTCTTGGTGTTTGTTCTGAAGTCACACAGCTGCCTGTGACATCATTATGATGCTGTGGCCTCTGAGGAGCTACTTCAATACGTTTTCAAGGACTAGAACAGGACGCTTAAGGTGTGACAAGTCATCAGCTGAAGAAGTAAAGTGAAGTACATACATACAAGGCCATCCCTAAACTGACACTCTAGAGGACTGATATTACCTCTCATCCATTTAACTTTTGAATCTCTTTTTCATCTGTAGTGCATTTCATTACATTACCTGAAAGAGCAGTTTGTGTCAGAGCTCTCTCAGCCCCACCTACCTCACAGGGTGTCTGTTGTGGGGAGGGGAAGGGAAAGGAGTTTGTAAGCCGCTCTGAGACACCTTTCGGTAGTGAAGGGCGGGGTATAAATCCAATCTCTTCTCTTCTCTTCATTACTTGAATCCATGATTTATCCTTGTTATGCAAGATGATCAATTTGCACACGAAGGTCTTTAAATCTGTATTTCTACATACCATATATAAGTAAATAAAAATACATTCATTTAGGATGGCTACTTACTATATGATACTTAATTACTTTTACAATGATACCACATTCACTCAGATGTACACTATTTGTTGAATGGGCCAGCTGCCCCTAAAACCAACCTTGCACACCTACGAGAGTCAGCATGCAGAAAAGTTCTGATATCTGTGTGCTTAACAGCTTGATGGTGGAAGAAAATTTCACTGAGTTCACTGTGACTGACTCCAAAGTACAAGTGCATAGGTTTAGGCCTGGAACCTTCAGCTACAATCATATGCATATTAACACCATAGTAAGTTACATTAAACTTACATGAGGATTATTTCTGAGTAAACAAACATAGGACTGGGCAGTTAGGCGTATTTTCTTAGAAACAGGTCCCAGTGGTGTTAATATAATGTGTAAATGGGAAAAAAAAATTAAGTGCGATCAGATTATGATGAATCAGAATTGATGAAAAACAGTAGCATCCCAATCTTATTAACATTTCCATTGAAACCAACGAGGCTTCTGCAGAAGCGTAATAAGACTTAGGCTCTTCATGTCATAAGAGGAACTGGAAAAGGCTGATAACTAGCGAACGGCGAACCGGTGCTTAGTGAGAAATACTGTCGCCAACACATTCTGCAGGTACATCGATCGCTAATGCGGCAATGAAGAATGTTAAAAATACTGTTGGCAAACAAGCAAAGAAGCTGTAAGGCTCCTCATCGACTCTCTTCCGTTCACCCAGTTCACAAGTGGCTTTGCTCCTCTCACCTCGCTTTACATGCTCCATTCCCAGACTCTGACTGTACACGTTTTGAGCTCCTACCTTTGCTCGCCTCCCGCCCCCTCACGATTATTTACTGAGCCAGAACACTTGAGACAATGTATACCGGGAAAGGACAACAACTCCCAGAGTACCTGGCGAAGATACCCTCGTCCACCACCGGAAATAGAAGCAGACGGTGGGCGGCAAATAAGCAAGAGACTACAATTTCCAGCATGCACTGCGGTGCAGCTTTGGCTGTTCAAGCGCCTGAGTCTGTCGGGGACTGGAAGGCATAACGGGGGAGGAGCCACTGTGAGATGGAGAAGCGGGATGGAAGTAGCTATGTCTTCAAAAAGGTCGGTGGCCCAGTGGGGCCTGTGAAAGGAGAGAGAAGAGTTGTGGGTGGGGGACGCGGGTTTTCAGACCTTTGGGAGGGTACTGATCATAGCAGGCAATAGCTAGAACGTGCGTGAATGAAGATATTTCATTGTCTTATCTGGTTATGTAAATATTGCTAACAAGGGGTTTGAGTCAGTTCCTTGAGGTTCCTGCCCTAGGCTTAGGCTGTCTATAATTATGTCACACCACCTTTACTGTGTGGCGTGGCCAGATTATAACTGGCCGTAATAGGCTCTTCGGACAGCGCTGGCTCTTCGGCTTTGAAACGGAGATGAGCACCGCAACCCTAGAGTCGGATTCGACTGGCTTTCGAGCAAGGGAACCTTTACCTTTACCTTTAATAGGGTTATGAGAGCTCCATTCGAGTTCTGTAATACCTTAGAGACCAACAAGAGTTTCGGGGTATAAACTTTCGAGAGTCAGTGTTCCCTTCGTTAGATACAAGTCGGTTATGACAGTTATGCAGTACGGGAGTTTTGGGGACAGAATTC